GAAAGAGGGGAGGTGAAAAACAGAGACATTAAGTGCCAAAGCTTATGTTAATACAGCATTAAGGTTGAAAATGTAATCTCCTAGGAGTCAGGAAATTCCGAACCAGAGGGTTTCCATGGCAACCCAGCCACACTGTTCCTCTGTCCATTCCGGCCCTGTTTTCCTTGTTAAATATGATCCCGTCGTATATTATATTTTATCGAGCTAAATGTGTTACCCACAGCATGCAGAGCTCCAGTCAGCAGCAACATGGAGCTGCAGGAAATGTGTGTGAGTGGGTGGGGGGCGGGGAGGGCAGGAGGATGGATGGGCCTTCAGAATTCATCTGATACAACACAGCCGCATCTTGGGTCCTTGTATCTAATAAATGAAATAAAATTCCATTAAAGCAGCTCCCTTGAAAATAAATGAGCAAGGGCGCTGCAATCCTTGTGTTTGAAAGGAGTCACTCAGGGTGCCCACTCCTCCTGGAAGGACACAGCCAGATCCCTCACAGGCCTTCTCGGCACCCTCAGGCCCCAAGGGCAGGGCCATCACTGCCACCCCGGGCTTTCTCCTGGACAGAGTTCTGAGGAGGTGGATTGGAATTACCTGGTCCAGTGGTTCTTCACACGCTCCAGCCAATTGAAGCTCATCTGTCACTGTTCGTTAGCATCCCAGGGTGCACCAGACACCAGCAAACAGATGCGGAAAGGAAATTCAATTCTCCTCCCAAACTGCTCTCCCAGTAAGGCAGCACAATGGACAAAAGGCCTCCTCAGTGGCAGCAGGGAAACGGACTGTCAGGGAGGGCAGCTCAGTAGTGGAATGTGTGACAAAGAAACATCTGTAGGTTAATGTGGTGGAAAGAGCAAGGAATGTTAGAATCAGGCTGCCCAAAACTCGGCTGTCTCCTAGCCATGTGGTCTTCAGTAAGTCCCTTAATTTCCCTTTGTCTTAGTTTTTTCATCTGCAAAAATTGGGATAAAATTACCGTTAACCTCATATGGGCTTGTCGAAGGATTAAATGGGATAATTGATGCAAAAGCTCACTGTAAACTTCTAAATCCCTACACAAATGTCACTCTTCCAGGGAGCTCTAGAAAACCATACTGGATTCTAGAATTATGTAGTGGGTGCTAGATATTTTGTGGTTGGTTTTAAAATTCTACGCTGGGTTTCAGAATTAATTGATAGATATAAAAGAAGGGTTGGCAAACGTTTCCTGTAGAGGGTCAGAGAATAAATAGTTTAGGCTTTGGAGGCCATGCTGCGACTACACAGTTCTACTGTTACAGCTCTAAAGAAGCCAGAGATCGCACATAAATAAATGGCCATGGTTATGTGCCAATAAAACTTTATTTACAAAAGCAGGAAGTGAGCTGGATTTGGCTCGTTGGCTGTTTTTTGCCAGCCCCGGTCTAAATTGCCTATGTAGGAAACCATGCTTTTTGTGAATGCTGCTTTTCTGCCCAGAATTTAATTCTCCCTCCTCTCCACCCTCTACCTCCTGCCCTGCCAATCTCCCCACTCACTTACACACATATTTTTTTCTCTGGCCAGCTTCTTAACCTTCCATAATCAGCCAGAGTCACCTTGTCAAAGAGCAAATCAAAAGTCTCTTGGCCCTTGTCTGTTTCCCTCACAGACTGAGTTCCTTAGGGTAGCCAACTCTAGCCCCAGGCCCTAGGTCTTGATAGATAATCAGTGGATTTTTGTAGAGTGGATATACGAAAAAACACAGCATCTCAGGAACTGGGACATTGTCATTCTCTCAGGAAGTCTATGAACTGGGGCGGGTTCAAGCATCTTAGGTCTGGTATCCATCCTCTAATTATGAGCTGCTCAGTCAGAGCGTCTCTAACAATCAGAAGGCAGGATCACCTTCACAGACACAGGCCAATCTATGTGCTGACCTCACAAGCTCTGGGGCCAACCCACTCTTTGCAGGTGTGATGGCGCCCTGGGCAACACGCCAGATGGGCAGGAGCGGGTCTGTGGGAAGGTGACACTCCACAGCCACCCCTCCAAGGAAAGGCATTCCCAGTAATCGGTTTGTGTTCGTGACAGTGCAGCAGCTCCTCACACTGCCCTCGGGGAGAGTCTACCAGCCTAGACAAGTGACATGATAATGTGGAAGCTTCCAGAAGTGCAGCAGCCCTTTTGGCTTTCACATTCGCAAGCTTTCCCCATCCTCCCACTCCTGGCAGAGCAGACAGGCAGAATGGAGTTGTGTAACTCACCTCTGAGTCACACTTCCCCCAGCACAGCATTTGCTTTCTGCCTGACAGAGTTGAGCTTCCTCAGGACAGCCAGACAGGCGACTATTGTTCAAAAGTCAGGGTTGGGTGATGGGCTCTTCTGCCCCCAATATACCAGCTAAGAAGAAGTCACTTTTCATTACAGTGGTAGGGGAAGAGATATGTGTGTGGTGCATATATATAGCAGGGGTTCATGGGGACACGCAATGCACATGTTATGTCATGCATACGTCCTTTGTGCAGGCTTATGTGCTATATAGCTGTGTGATCACTGCACATGTGTGTACGTGTGTGTGTTTAGGCATACGCTTTTGTGTTTTTGTAAGGCCGTGTTGTTCTTACACATGCCTGAGAATGTCTGCTGGTTGGGCATGTGCTTTTGTCTGGGTCTGTGTGTGTCTTTAATTTAGGACTCCACTTCTCCTGGAGGACACGATAGCTTCCATCCTCAGGCCTCAGCAGATGAATATTTTATTACTTTGCTTTTGCCATGGCGTTAGGCAGTTTTCCTGTGAAAAGCCAGAGCAGGACACACTCCAGGGAGGCAGAGGTAGGAGCTCTGATGTTGGAGCCCCGGAAAGCAAATCGCTCCCCTCCCCATATCTCCCCCACCCAGCAGCTAAGTCCCGGGAGGGTTCACAGATGCCACTTGTTAGCGTCATTAGGAACTGATAAGTCAGCCCTTTTTTTCCATGTCCCCTGACAGCATTCTGTCTAAATATAAAGCGAGCACACCTGTCTTACAGGAGACTTGAGGGAGCTCCACGCTAGTCTTCCTGAAGCCAGACCAAAGCTTCTTTTCCCCAACTGCCTGGTCCTCCTATCAAGGAAGATGCTATGTCCTGGGAGCAGGAGGTCACTGTATAACCCAGATGGCAAGTGGAAGGTCCTGACTTCTCCCCACGCCCTGAGAATGTAAGTGAGGCAGCCAAGTTGACAAAGAGCCAGGAACAGAAATGCTGCAGCCAACAGGCTGTGGAGACAACTTACCCCAGTTGCTGGGCCCTCCTGGCGCCCAGCCTAAGAGTGACCCAGCCATGTGCTGTACTATAGCTGGGCTCCCCAGAAGCAGACCCTGAGACAAGGATTTAGGTGCAAATAGTTTATCTGGGAGGTGACCCCAGCCCAGAAGCACTGTGTGGACATGGGAAACAAGACAGTGAATAAAGAAAACAAATAAAGGACATAGAAATGAATAGGTTACGTCTTCCTGGGGAACCTCTGGAGATGACACACCTCAGGGCTCTCCCACTGAGGAACTGAGGTGTTTACCCATCAACTCTGACCTCATTGATCGAGGGTTGCCTGCCTCATGGGCAAAACTAGCATCCTCTGCTGTAGATTGTGAGAAAGCCAGGGGCATATGAGTTCTGCCATACTCCAGAGAGGTGAGTAGCCTGGCCCACAGCTCTAAGTAGCAAGGGCTAACTCAGGCTTCTGGACTCTCTTCAGACGCTCTATCCCTCCTCCCCATGACTCAGATAGAAGTAGAAGCTCTCTAGCCTGCCCTCTCCATAGTGAGGCTCAGGGGCAGGGATTCTTGATCTGGGTGCTGGGGGCTGGGCTTGTGTGGGGCCAGCTGCTTGGCCACCATGGGCTGTGAGTTTACGGAAGCTCTATGAGCATTACTGCTGAGATGCGGAGGACAACGGGCTGTACTCGAGGCTTCCAAAGCTCTGGAGCCAGACGTATCATTCATTGAGTCAGTCATTCCACAGAGAATGACTGGGTGCTGACTGCCTGTCCTGGGGAGTTAGCGTAAGATAGAAAGGGCTTCGAACAAGATGATTATAAAGATAAACAGAACAACAAAAACAAAACAGGAAGACTTCCTGCATCTTCCACACCCACCTGCCCTCTCATCACCCATGAATCCCATTAAGGGCTTTATTCGAGCCTCTCAAGTTCTTCAACTAAATTTCTCATAGCTGTCATTAAACTCTATCTTGAATGGTAATAAGAATCATAATTATAATGATTTCCGAGCCCCTATTTGTGTGTCAGACTTTGTGTTTAGCTCACATTATTTTATATAAGCTTCACAGCAGTACAATAAATTATGTACTACTATCTGCATTTTACAGATAGAAACTAAGATTCCGAGACATTCTGGTTCTCACCACAGGTCACCCTGCTCAGAAGTGACAGAGATTTGTTTGGCTTGGTGCCTGTGAAGCGGGCCTTAACACATTAGTCAACTATTTCCTACTGGTCTGTGAGCTCCTTGAGGACAAGGAGCCTGGAACATTGTCTGCTGTGTGTGGCCGTTGAGTGGAGACTCCTTTTATCTCTTCATTTATCTAACAGGGAATTAGAGAGACATGTGCCTTAGCAAACATGCACTGCAAGGGTCTGTGACCAGGTCCACCCTCAGGCTTCAAGCTGATTTCCCTCACCACCTCTCTCTGAAGGAAGAGAGTAGACGTAGGCAGGCATCGGAATCAGATAGAACCAGGATTCAAAATTCATAGCTGTGTGGTCCTGAGCAGGGAGCGTAGCATCTCTGAATCTCTGTTTTCTCCAATGGGGGAATCTTCCTCCTTCTGAAGAATGCCGTGAGGATGGAATTCGAAAGATGTATGTCAGATCTTTAGCTGCAGAAAACCTGACCTTCAGGAAGCTCTTGGTAGATATCGATTCCAACCTAAGTAGGCCATGAGCTTCCTCAGGTGGCTTTTTTTTTTTTCTTTTTTATTGGTCTATCATCACCATACCCATCCCAGGACCCAGCACTGCATGGACACTTGGTAAATGGTGGTGCTGTTGAGCTGTCTTCAGTCCAGTAGTGTTCATAAATAGGACTTGCCCTAACTCATAGGCTCGTGGGACCTCAACCAGAGAATACACAAGCAGGCGCTTCTCAGCCAGGACACAAGCCTGTGTATGCTGTTCTTTGAAATCATAGCTGATTCTTTCTTTGTCCCCTTTGTTTTTCTATGGCCACCCTCTTTGGTCCCACACCTGCAGTCAAAGTCTGCCAGAGCATAGTCCCAGGCCTGTGCTGAGTGAGAGCTCAGGGCAGAGAAAGAGGCTGGAGGCCTGCAGATGTATGAATGTGACAGGCCAGCTCTGTCAAGGTGTTAGGCCCACTTCCAGCTTCCTGGCCACAGCAGGGCCACACCCTGCTACCCAGCCCTGATGTCTCCTGCTGGCCCACCTCTCCTGGGATGAAGGTCCCTTTTTCATCTTCCAGCACCCCAAGCTGGAGCTTCCACCATAGCCCATTCTTGATCTTCTCCCAACATTTCTTTCTTCCTGACCATTCTCCTAGACAGTGTCCAGGAGTAGTCATCTACCACCTTGCTCACACCTCTTCCTCGACTCTCTTCTGTGTTCCGAGATGCTCATCACTGGTCCGTTTTTTGATGCTGCAGTGCTTTCCTCTTCTCTTATTCTCCTTTGATAAAATCCTTCTCTCTAGCTTTATTCTGTACCATCCTGACTGTGGACGATGATTCTGCTCTATGAGTCTGGCTCATCAGTGGGCTGTCGAGAAATTCTGAGTTAGTATACTCCATCCGTACATCAGAACCCATTTGTGTCCAGCCAGAAGTCCACCCATCTCCTTGCTCCTTCTCCTGGGGCATGATGCCTCCTCTTCCTTCACCAAGGCTGGGTGAAGGGGGAGCTGTTGAGCCTAGTTCTTCTAGTCTACCCGCTTCTCCCACAGCTGGGGGCTCATGTGCCAAGCCTGGCACTGGCAGCAGGCGCCGTGGAGGGCAGACGATTAGTTGGAAGATGAAAACCTCTATTCACGACAATATCAAATTCCTGGCTCCAGAGAAAGAGACAGGTTTGCTCCTGGTCTGAGACATCGCCTGCAAAGTGAAAGCCGATACCAGGAGAGGAGCGTCTCATTAATGCAGGCTCTGTTCTTTTCACCTGGCAGGCCAAACACAGCGGCTCACTTGTGCCTCTGAAACCCTAACTGGCTCCTGGCTGGGAGCTTTGGGGACTGCATGGGAGACATCAGGCAGGGTGTGCCAGGCGTGCACCCAGCCAAATCCCAGCTCAGCTAGGGCAAGGACTAGAGAGGAAGGCCCAGGAATGGCGCCCACACCCATGCCCATGTGGGCGCTGTCAGGATAAGGCTAGAGCCATGCTCTCCAACCGCCCAGAGCCCTTCAATTGCCTTTTTCTTTTTATTCAGTTCCTTTGCAAGTATATGCTACAAGGTGGGTACCAAAAAAAAAAAAAAAAATCATACAATACAAGTATGGAGGGTCTTGAGCAATTTATTCTGTTTCTCAACTTTTAAGGTCACAAACTCCCTTATAAACCTTTTGAAAGCTATAGACTCTCCCAAGAAAAATCATGCCCCAAATCGATCATGTAAGTATATGGATTCTCTAAATCTCACTCCTAAAGCTCACTCGGTTAGTCTCATAGAGTCCATGTAAAGAATATCTTCCAATACCTCCTTCAGTGACTGGGAAAACTGAGGCAAAGAAGAGGAACTGATATCCGAGAAAACACAGCATTTTGTTGACAATGATTTGATCATATTTAACATTTATTTGATTAAAAATAAGTATGACTATTCACAGAATGTATTTACAAATAAGAAATATCAAACTCAGAGAAGCCAGTGCATTTGCACAACATCACTAGTTGTCCCTCCATAGACACATTCTCTCTTTTCACCATGGAAGAATTTTTAGCTGGGCACACAGCAGCTTCTCAGTTGGTCTTGCTTCTCAGTTCAGCTAATGGGATGTTAGCAGAATTCTAAGTCGTATCTTTGAAAAGAATGGGTACACCACTTTCCTCTTTCACCTTGTCCCTCTAGGTAGAATGCAGACATGACAGTAAAAGTTGGAGCAGCCATTCTGGACCATGTGATCAAGGCTAGGTATTG